CAAGATCTCTCATCTGACCGCTTCTATGTGCATATTTCTGTTCACCTACGCCTATAGAACCAGGTATATTGGTCGTTCGAAGCATATCCTGTCTAAAGAGGTTCAAGAACACTATCTGGAATGGTCGCTGGAAGGCAGTGATGACTCTGTAAGGGGTGAGAAAAATTCATGGTCACCTTGTCAACAGCACACATTGTCTCAAGAAACTCCTCCTTCAAAGTAATCTTCGAAATGGAGAACAACCTGCCAAGGGCAATACACTTTCGCCTGCTTTACACTGAGAGGCTATAGTCATTCCGTTAGAGAACCCAGAGCTTGGCATATAAAAGAAATTTATTCAACTATCCCTGCTATCATGTTACCAGCATTCTTAATTTCTAGTAATTCCATCTTTCGAGAGATTGATTGCTGGACAAAGAATATTCTTTCCGATAACCGGCTCTCCATCAGGTTCTGCAGTTCCATGCATCCATATTAATAGTGAAGGAATTAGAGTTATTACCAACGTGAATGTTGTTTAAATAACATCGAATCAATCAATAGTATGAATAGATTACAGTTCAATAGCGAGCATCTATAAGCGTGATAATATGCACCAACATAACACTGCACTACACTGAATATCAGATAGACAAATTAGAGAAAATTTTAATATAGAATTCATGAATTTATAGTCTCCATTGAAGGTCGACCGGAGCAATAATAGTGGCTGTCTGGACTAGTTTCTTCTGCACACAAAGCACCGGTTACTCAAACTGGATAGAAATAGGCTGGATGCTTTTGACAACTTATATTTGGTACCTGGTAGATGATTGAGAAGGATACTTCAATACTGGCTTTGTGGCCGGTTTGAACCAGGTGGTCTAAATATCGAGCTATTGATGTTTTTCATTATACCTTTATTTAGCCACACCGGTAGGTGCTTCCGGGCGAGCACGAAAGCATCAAGTTCTCAGAGCTACGGCCAGTATAACTCGTTCCACATGTGCAGTTAAATTGGTAGATACCATTAAAGGTGGCTAGTTTAGGTACTTCATTTTCCAGTTCAGGAATCACAACCGGTCATTTATTGGTTTAATTTATTTTCTTAGAGATACTCTGTTGGAGTCAAAGCTTTTTCAGTATGCAAGCTTACAAGCATTTCCTCCAAACATATGATTTCGAGTAAACTGTTTCACCGATAAGAAAAGAAGATTACTGTGTCTTTTCAACAGCTAAGACATTGAAATCGTTTGCTTATTGCTGTCCTACGTCTACAGGATTTATGGAGTGAGTTATATTCGCCGTTGCTGTAGGAACTTGATCCCTTCGTGCTCACTCGGCAGCACCTACCGGTGTGACTAAACAAAGGTATAGTGAAAAACATCAATAGCTCGATATTTAGACCACCTGGTTCATACCGGTCACAAGGCCAGCATTGAAGTATCCTTCTCAATCATCTACCAGGTACCAGATATAAGTTGTCAAAAGCATCCAGCCTATTTCTATCCACTTTGAGTAACCGGTGCTCTGTGTGCAGAAGAAACAAGTCCAGACAGCCACTATTATTGCTGCAGTCGACCTTCAATGGAGACTATAAATTCATGAATTCTCTATTATTCTTATTATTTTCCCTAATTTGTCTGTCTGATATTCATTCACTGTTGTGTTATGTTGGTGCATATTATCACGCTTAGAGATGCTCGCTATTGAACTGTAATCTATTGATATTATTGATTGATTCGATGTTATTTAAACCACATTAATGTTGTTAATAACTCTAATTCCTTCATTATTAATATGGATGCATATAACTGTAGAACCTGATGAAGAGCAAGTTGGTGGAAAGAATATTCTTTGTTCAGTAACCATTCTCTTGAAATGTCAAATGGATATTTTTGAACAATTTAATTTTTGTTTCTTTTTAACTCTTTGCCTCAACTAACATCACTTTTGCTTACTTTCTGTGTGCATCCTGATTGCAGCTCATTCAATAGTGTATTCATCTCATTACGTAATTGTCAATACGCCTATTGAACTCCTCATATACACTGGCTAATACTAACAGTTACCATTATGACAACTCATCGCTTTTGTTAATAACCTTCTTTTTTCGGATTTTGCATAACTACAATGGAGATTTCTTCAAGAACAGATATCATTCAGAGAATCTTTCAGAACCCGGGGAGTAGGGGATAGCTGTTTCGCCCTGAGTTGGGAATCTTCATAAGTATACACTCATGGACCAACCGGTGATCGCTCCTGGGATCTTCCACTTACCAGGCAAACCAGTTGATCATTTAGCTACTGGGTTAGAAATTAATCACCCGCGAGTCCTGACTTCTTTAAGTTTGCTGTACATCTTGCATTAATTCGTGATCTAACTGAAATGCTATCAAGTCGCTGTAAACCCATGCTTTAAACATGGTTAACTGCGTCGAATAAAAGGATTTTATTAACAGTCAATTATATTTTAAGACGCTAAGCTGTCTACAATAGACAGAAGTTGAAATCTGTTGTTTTCTGCACACGCGTGATTAATCTACAAAATGTTTCCATCACTTGTACATAAACTATAATTTAATATGACTGACTTAGACTTCAACCTGGAACTTTGCACACAAAAACACATCAGCTCACATGTCATTACACTTCATTAAGTCAGTATAGACGTAGAGAAATAAAAATGCAGGGCTACTATATTCAACGGACGCATGCTGGAAAATTATTTTATTTTATTCAAAACAATTAGTTCCTTTCTGAAATAATTTGAGCGCCGAGTCAGATTGATTCTTCAGAAGCTGTGGCTTACACGGCGAAACGTTCAGAAAAATCTTGTTTTGAGTTTCTTAACACGCTGGGATTAATTTAAATAATTTATAATGAATTAGTTCCTTTGATAAATTTTAATAAAACATTAAGAAGACAAATTTCGCGAGATAATTTCTTCATTTCGTTGTTTCTTTACAACCCCTTTACAACTAACATGGTTAACAATAATAAAATAAAGTTCATGACAATTACTCAGTTAAATAAAAAAAACAAAAGTACATACTAATGACCAATCATATTTAGATAGGTCATGTTGTCCATGGTGGGCGAAGATTGAAGTCTATTGTTTTTTGTACACACAGTTTAGGCTGTATGTGATGATCAATCCAAAGTGCTTCCATCTATCACCTTCAATGACCAACCTTGAATTAGAGTTATGTGATGAAATAATTGCGAAACAGTCATTAATATTGATTTTGTGACTTGACATTATTAAGTGCTTTGCAATGGATGACCATGATGCTGGATTTCTATTCAGATTAATTGCATTGGGATTTTCTGTGTTTTAGTAACCATTTTGGAACATGTTCTTCTCGACGACATTGGAACATTCCGTTGGTTCTACCTATATAGGTGTCACCACAGCTGCAGGTGAACTTGTAGATACAGTTTGAAGTAGAGTCCACAGAATAGGTAGAACCAACGGAATGTTCCAATGTCGTCGAGAAGAACATGTTCCAAAATGGTTACTAAAACACAGAAAATCCCAATGCAATTAATCTGAATAGAAATCCAGCATCATGGTCATCCATTGCAAAGCACTTAATAATGTCAGGTCACAAAATCAATATTAATGACTGTTTCGCAATTATTTCATCACATAACTCTAATTCAAGGTTCGTTATTGAAGATGATGGAAGCACTTTGAGGGATTAATCACATGCATCCTAAACTGTGTGTATAAAACACAATAGACTTCAATCTTCGCCTTCTATGATGGGCTGCTTGACCTATTTAATTATGATTGGTCATTAATATGTACTTTTATTTTTTATATAACTGAGTAATTGTCATGATCTTTACTTTATTATTATTAACCATGTTAGTTGTAAAGCGGTTGTAAAGAAACAACGAAATGAAAAAATTATCTCGCGAAATTTGTCTTCTTAATGCCTTATTCAAATTTATTTTATCTCTCTGCAATTTTTTTCTGCCGGTTAGAGTTGATAACCTCACTCCCCTTAACCTTCTTTCTTTACCAGGCTTGCTATAAGTTAAACAATGTCTAAGAGTCCATAGGGAAGGAGTCGAACCTCGGACAACCTGCATGACTGCTAACTGTTCCACCGCTGAACCATCGACGCGTTAGTACTCTTCTCAAGAATTTATTTCACCCTAGAGTTCACGAAAAGTGAGCGAATCTACGCCACTGACAATAATTTTGAGGCATATCACTAACAGTCTCCATCCACTGGTACTCAACGACTCTAAGGAGCCCAGTTGGACAGTCTACATTTCTTTATATTACTGAAAGTAACAATAAGAGACTTTATGGATTAATGTCACCTTTTTATTTATTTAACCAACTCCATCTCTTCAACAACTGTCTTCGTTCTATACTCAAGATCAGATGGCCGGAAAAAATCACCAACAAGAAACTATGGGAACAAACACAACAAGAACCAATCGCTCAACAAATATGCAGGAGAAAGTGGAGATTGATTGGACACTCGCTGAGGAGGCCGCTGGGTGACATCGCGCGTCAGGCCATCGCTCGAGTGGAACCCGAAAGGGAAGCGGCGAGTGGGACGTTCAAGGGTGACATGGAGGAGATCGTGTGAAGATGAGTTGAAGCAGTATGGATTAACATGCATGCAGGTGAAAAGTACAGCAGAAGACAGAAGCAAGTGGAGACGTGTAGTTGAAGCCCTATGTTCCACTAGGAACCCAAGGGAACAATAATAATAATAATCTCTTCCAATTCAATTCTATGTTAGCTAACATTATTTGACAATAAAACCGATGGTTTGGGATACGTAACATGTGTCCTGTCTTCTAAATGTCTTGCTCATATGCCCTTTTTACAGAGACTTACAAAGAAATGAAGATACGGTGCCAATATTCCCCAAACTGCACCCCACACACACCCCTCCTTCCCGCCAAAACTATGAGGATAAATTAAAAAGACAAACAAAATTATTATTTCAATAATTCTGTTTTATTCTAAAATATTTATAATTTAAAATCATATCAAACAATGTAACCATAATCACTTTTGGAGGTAGGGATTGGTTAGGAACTGGGCTGTGTTTCGGGGGGAAACATGATAATATCTGTGATTAATGCCAGCAACAGCAAAGTGGTAATAACGCCGACAGCAAGAATAATAAGGACAAGAGTAGAAGCATTCGAATGAAGCTAAATACATACAAAGCATTGTTTATACTGATAGCGGTTTATTATTTTCATCCCCTTTACCATCAATTCGATTCGCGGCGACAGCGGCAGCAACACCGGCATGATCATCATCACCGTCGACATTATCTCTATCCGCCTTTCCTAGTGAATCAACAATATTATGCTGAAGAGGTTTAACTTTAAGCGTATCATTATCGCCAATTGGTTTATTCACATCATCGTCATTATCATCATCATCACTAACTTCTATAGCCCATGGTTGAATCGTAGATGAAGAGAATGCGAGAAAGAATAAACCAGCGGCTAAGAATATTCCAGCGCCCAAGTAGAATACATAACGCCATTGTTCATAAGTTTTCTAAATTAGCAAAATAAAAGAAGAACAAGACAAGAATTTAGAAAAAGAAAAGTGTAGATAAGTTAAGATAAATATTAAATTTATAAATATTATAAATAACTGCTCCTGTGGAGTCAGCAGCTAGTTAGTTGCATAGACCGTACAATTAGGCGTGTTTCTCGTGGGATTTCCGAACATCACCCTGCATAGTGGTTGGTTAAGTAAAGGACAAACAAAATCTATTCACATAGCGCTATTCTATCTCATCTTGTGGATACAGAACACAAGATTGATGTCAACCAGGCAGCTTTCAAAGTCATTTACTGGATACCAACAAATCTTAACTTTGCCTTAAGAGTTCGTTTACTACACATATTGCTGAGGCTGACTGTTAGGATCCACATTAAGAAGCCTAATTTGTGGGTCCATAAGAAGCTAGTTCAGACATTATCCTTACCTTGGCCATCTAGGTTTGAATGATGCTCAAGTTTTGTAGAAATTTCCCTAATTTTAGTTGATATTCTATTTTTATTATTATTCCAGTAATTTAAGCATCTTTAATGAACTGTGATCCCATTGTGATCTTACTTTACAAATCGATATTATTTAAAAATACACTAATATTGCAATAATAGAGAAGATTTTTAGCTCAGGTGGATGATTTGCAATCAACAGTGTTCTCTGAGCTGGTTGGTTTAGTTGCGGAACTTTCGTCGTCAAAAACATTCAAGTAGAAGACAATGAAATAATGGTGTCTCCTTTGATGAAGTCACAGCATTATATACTTCAATTAGTTCAAAACTAGCAACAGAAACTATGCAACAACTATTCTATAGTGATGAAAACATAAAAAACGCAATGTTCAACTTGGATAGAACTCATAAAACTATGCCTTACAACATACTTCCAATTCAAAACTCAAATATATGAACAAATAAAAGGAACAGAAATGGGATCGCCCATATCAGGATTAATAGCTGAAGCCGTTATGCAAAGATTAGAATTAACAGCTCTACCTATAATTAAACCAAAAGCCTGCCTACGTTACGTTGATGATACATTTGTAATAATTAAGAGAAATGATTTATAATATACCCATAAATTAATAAACAACATATTTGAAGACATCAAATTCACAAGAGAAGAAGAATTAGATAAAAAAATTCCATTTTTAGATGTCTTAATCAGGAGAACCAACACAGGAAATTTAGAAACATAACTGTATAGAAAATCAACGCACACAGATCAAATACTTAACTATACTAGCAATAATACAATTACTCACAAACGAAACTGTGTGTAGACATTGTTTAAAAGAGTTCAAACACATTGTAGCACTCCAGTATTTGTTGAAGAGAATGGAAGAAAAATACCTACAAACGGTCTTCAAAAAGAATGGTTATCCACACAATTTCATCAAAAAGTGTTTAAAGTCGAATCACAACGCCAACAAGGGACTATCATCAAAGAGCACAAGAAAATTCATTCTACCATACATGAGAAATATCCCTGAAATAACAGCTAGTATGCTGAAACCGTCTGACATAGGCACACAAGCCAGTCAAATCGCCTTATTCAGTATTACGCAAACTGAAAGATCCAACAGAAAAAGGAGATAACATAAATATCATTTACAAAATAAATTGTATGAACTGCAACAAGCATTACATCGGCCAAAGTGGGCGTCCCCTTCGAATTAGAATCCAAGAACACAAATCAGCCGTGAAAAGACACGATATGTATTCTTTGGTATCAATGCATACAGACAATTATGGTCATCAGTTTGATTGGGATCATGTCAAAATCTTAAACAGAGGAAACCCCAAAAGTGCCAGAGAATTCCTAGAAGCCTGGTACTCAAACGAAAATGCAATTAATAAACACGTTAATATAGACGAAATATACCAACTAATAAGAAGTAAATCAGGTGACCAGAAAGTTTAAAATCCAAGTCAATAGAAAATGGTCAATACATATGTAAAGATGGTTACCGAGAGACGCAATTATATCACTCATGAAGAAATTTAAATAATTTCACTTTATGCTAAATATTGCGCTGAAGGGGGATGTTGTCCAGAAGGAGGAAGACGAAAGCTCCGCAACTAAATCAACCAGCTCAGAGAACACTATTAATTGCAAAACACTAATATTATTATTGACTACTAATCAAGAATATTCTATGTATGTAAACATATAACTGTAGATCCAGAAGAGGATATTATCAAAAAAAGGATATACTCTCCTCAATTATTTTATGTTTTATAGACGTCTGAATGAATATATATATTCGTTATATTGCACATTATAACCCATCATAATAACAGTAACGAAATAAGTGTTCAGAAAATCCCTCCAGAACGATCTAATTACAACACTGATAATTATTTGGATGTTTCAGGTAACACTCTGTAGTTTCATCATGAACTGAAATCGGTAAGAGAATGAAACAGCTGTCCAGTACTATCACCAGGTAGTTTTCCAATGATTCTCTATCCGATGTCAGCTCATGATGAAATCCCTGCAAAGCCAACACTCTAACATCAGTCAGTTGCTCACTAGCTACTGACCATATTCAGGTAGCTAGTTTTGTGGAATCTAGTGAGACGTTGTGACTAGTGGGATACAGTAGGTAGGATGTTAGGAAACATACTCACCAGCGATAACATTGGCTGATGCAAGTCGCGCTATATCATGAATTGGCAGAAGTTGGAATTCATGCGCGACTGGATTAGTTGTCAGTGGCTGAATGGTCTATGAGCTCATCTTGTAAATGAAAGCTTTTCGGCTTGAAAACTGGTCGGTATGTTCTGATGGAGAGTCCCGAATTCGGACGAAACAGCCGTGCAGTACTACCCGGTGGTTTTCCAATGATCTTCTGGCCGATGTCAGCTCATCATGAAAACGTGTAACCAATCAGTCAAATCCCTACAAACCGACATTTTAATAACTTTGTAATTTTCTTCCTCTTTCTGGCGTTTCCATATCATTTACTGAACTAATCCTCATCCTATTGAATCTTTAACTTAATTTCTTTTTTTGGTGGTTGTGTGACGATGATGTTGATAATGTGTTGTTTTACGACTGCAACTTTGTTTGAACGAGTCAAGATCATTCTCACCTTGAGCTGTTTGTCAGCGAGAATTGTTTGGTGTATGATTCTTACCGACAGATTTCACTATATATTCTTGCGAATATTCTTCTTGACACTTAAGTACTTATTACAGTAAATTTTTGGTTGCATAATTCTGTAGCATAGTAGTTGTTTTGTACTGGATCAAATTTGATCCTTGTTTAGCTGTCTAACAGTAATGTTCAGATAATTTTGCTTTTTCATTAGTTATTATTCTTAAACAGTAGGTACACCAGATTTAATGGCGAATAAATGTGTCTTTTTAACGTCTTCAAGGTATGAAAGATTCCTATATCTTGTAAAAACATCTACCTCTTTTTGTAAATCCACTTCAAAGCTATCTGACCACTTATTTAAGAGGCTTATGTATAAAGTGTAGATTGATAACAGAGGTCATTGTTAGTTAAGTAAACCAATTCATTAAAAGTGTGTGAGTATGGTGAGAACTGTCTGCTAGCCAAAATTGGTAGACAGCAATTTATGTCAATGTTTAACGTCCCAAATCTTCGTCATGAGAAAAAAACAAGAACAAAGATTTTGCGTGGGTGGATACAATTCTCAGATATATGGTGTGACCTTCAAAGAAACGGTCACAAAGAGATGACAGATTAACTTTTAGGGGGAAAACAACCAATCAGAAGACGCTGTTTCTCTGCTAACAATAACCAATAATAATGTACATAAAAGTCTTTAAATATCTGTTGATTTTCTCAATAATAATTATAATAATTTACTTTATTGCAAAAACAGTACTTGTGATACAGAATAGAATTTTCAGCATTAATCACAATATTGCATCTAATTTCCTCAAATTGTAAATAAAAATTAGTCATACAGAAAATTTTCCACATTTACGATTGGTGTAATGTCAGAAAACATGCAGCATTTAAAATGGAAATAATAGTAATGATAACAGCTAAGGTAATGATAATAATACAAGTGGAAATTGCCGTGGGCTTGTTTCACACAGTATTGTCGATGCGGTATTGAAATCCTAGCACGTTTTAAAATATTGAATATAATGTTCTCTTTCGATGATATAGTGAGGGGAAAAAAGATTACAACAGTTATAGAGATAAGTCGGTGTTTGCACTTATGAGAGTAAAACAAAAAAGCAACAGGACCATAAATATAATAGGAATAATAAAAGTAAAACTTCAAGGTATATAAGGATGGATGGAAGAAATCGTTTATTTACTAGATGAAAAAAGGTTAGTCAATTCTTGCCTGACGCTATTTTCATCACATAAAATACGTGCCAAGTATGGTATCATAGAACTTTTATAATTAGACGTGCGAGCGTATATTTTTCCAAAGTTACTTCTTGTTCTACCTGAGGTGATTTAAGGTGAAAGCTGAGGGTAAAGTGGATGCTCCAAGTCAGACAAAATCCCTTTAGCAAATTTACTGCACAAAGTCAAGTGCCTATCGACAACGACGTTAACTATGTAGTCCACTGGGACACCACTCATCCTACTGACAGTCTTCAGCATTCTACGAATTGTGACATAGTCCTTTTTAAGCAAACCAGGAAAGAATAAGGGTGAACAATAAAGAAGAATAGGTAGGATGCAAGAGTTTATGAACTGTAAGAGGAGGGGTTGAGTTATACCCGAGTGCCTTAACTTCTTAATGTAAAATGTCAGACGGAATATTTTACTGGAGATCGTTAAGACATGGGAAGACCAGGAGAGATCAGAAGAGAGAATAAGTCCAAGATACTTAATTTCTGATTTAATTCCTATATCATTATCGTCAATCTTACAACTTTCATGAGAATCAACGGCTTCTTTTAACTGTCGTTTACATCTTAAGCTGAAATTAACAGTTTGACATTTAGAAGGATTCAGTTTAAGACCGTCAGACTCAGACCATTTACTGACTCCCGACA